TTCTACCTCAGTCTCCCCAGTGCTGGGATTACAGGCATGCACCATCATGCCTGGCTTCTGTTCATTTTAAAGAAATTTCTCTTAACTGTTTATTTCAGAAAATTTTATTGCTATTTTTTCAAGTTTGCTCATATTTCCTTCTACAGTTACTATTCTGACATTAATCTATTTAAAGTGATTTTCATTTCTAAAAGTTTGAAATACATTATTTTGAAAATCTATTATTTGCCTCTTTATCTTTTTGGATATGAGGAATACAGTTATAATAACAGTTTAATGCCAGGTATGGCAGTGCACATCTGTAATCCCAGCACATGGGAGGCTGAAGGAAGAGAATTGCTGCAAATTTGAAGTCAGCCTGTAGTATATAGTGAGTTCAAGGCCAGCCTGAACTACTGTAGTATGACACTGTCTCAAAAAGACAAACACCAGCAAACAAAAATCAACTATAGTAACATTTTAGTATGACACTGTCTCAAAAAGACAAACACAAGCAAAAATCAACTATAGTAACATTTTAACCTAGTTGTCTCTTTTGGGGGCAGGTCCCCCCCCCCCCCCTTTTGGTCTTTTGAGACAGAGTCTCATTCTGTAGTTTAGACTGGTCTTGAGCCTTCTTTGTAGCCCAGGCTGGCCTTGAACTCCTAAGGATCCTCCTGTGTCAGCCTCCCCAGTGCTGGGGTTATAGGTGTGTACCATCTCACCCTATGGGGCCAGCTTTTTTGAGGCAGAATATCCATGTAATCCAGGAAGGCTTTGAACTGTGTAGCCTACGTTGACCTCAAGCTCACAACAGTGCAATTGCCTCAGCCTTCCAAATGCTGAGATTATAGAGGTGTACCACTATGCCTGGCATTTACTTACTAATTCTAACATGGGTACCAGTTTTGGGTTGATTTCACTTAATTAATATTCTTGTTATGAATGCATTGTTTTGGTTTGCATACTTGCCAATTTCCGATTGGCTGCTAGACTTTGTGTAATTTACCTTGTTGGGCTCAGAATATTTTCATACTCCTGTGTATCATTTTCAGCTTTGATCAAGGGTATAGTTATTGTAAACAGCTTGACAAAGATCTTGCTTTTTGGGTTCGGTAGCAGGACTAAAGCAGTGCTCAGTTCTCCCCATCAGGAGGCACAAGGCTTTTCTGTGTACATTGCCCAGTGCTCTGTGAATCCAGAGGTTTTTCCATCTGACTAGTGGAAATCCACACCGTTCACCACCCTGACTGAGAAGCAGGCACTGTTACCACCCAGTCCTTTCAGTTGGTTCTTTCACTGGTTTTGGTAGCATTCTGCAAGCATATATTCCTCATTTCTCCTCTCAATTGCTGAGGAAGACCTTTTTTGCAGATATCTGGTGATTTTCTGAAATCCCTGGCCACCTTGGTCTTCCTGGAATTTTATCATCATCCCCTCAATTCATGGCACTGTCCTGGCTCCACACAGGCCCTCTGTGTCCTGTGGCTTGGAAACACTCAATGCAGCATGATGAAGCAATTGAATGGTTCACCTCATTTGTCTTCTGCCTGGTGGAAAGCATTAACTTTCCTTGATCTATAGAAACTATTTTCATGTTTTTTGCCCATGTTTTATTATTTCAGGCAAGAAGATAAGTCTGGTATCTGCTTTTCTTTGTCAGGAAGCAAATTTTTAAGCTTTACATATTCAAGGAAGAAAAACAAAGTAGGGTACAATAGACAGAGTATAGTGAGGGGGTTTGGTAAGGTACCAGTGTATGAACACTTTAGGTCTTAGTAAGGAGTTTGGATTCAGCTGAGGAGTAGATACCTTGGACGGTTTTGAGTGAAGAAGTCTTAGGATCTGAATTGTTTTAAATCTCCTAACTTGTTGAACATTCATTTAGCTCATTCTAAGCCATGTCCCCTGAAATCAGCACTGTGCCCTGCCCCTCATCTAGTCCTCTTATGGGTCTCTATGAATGAATGGCAGAGGCTGCAATCCTAGGTATCGCAAAGTTCCCTTAAAGAATCTGGGTGGAGGTGCCACCTATGGTTTTTGTTTGTTTTGTTTTGTTTTTGCTTCTCTTTCTGGAGGCCCTTTTTTTCCCTTTTGGGCTTGACTACTTTGTCCTTTGTAGAAGCGAGACACCTCAGCTATTTACTGTGTTGCCAGAGAAGAGAACAGCCACTGTTGGGGGAGCCATGATGGGATCGACCCACATTTATGACATGTCCACGGTGAGCACTTGAAGGATATGGCTTTGGGGGACTCCAAGGATGGGGTACAGCTAAGACTTCTGAGACATCTCTTTGGAGGTGACAAGATCTTGATCTTTATTTTAGGTTATGAGCCGGAAGGGTCCAGCCCCAGAGCTGCAAGGTGTGGAAGTGGCCCTAGCTCCCGAGGAGCTGGAATTGGATCCAATGGCCATGACCCAGAAGTATGAAGAGCATGTACGGGAGCAGCAGGCACAAGTGGAGAAGGAAGACTTCAGCGACATGGTGGCTGAGCATGCTGCCAAACAGAAGGTGGGCACTTCTCCGCCTGGGAAAAGAACTGGGAGCAGAGGCTGCCTTTTCCAGTGCAGTTTTGCCCTCTAGTGGTGAGAGTAAAGGTATAGTCAATGCCTTGGCCTTAAGTGGCTTCACAGAGGCACCAGAAAGAACTTACTCCAGTCTGAGAGGAAGGTGGGAACAGAATCTAGACTGAGTGCTTTTCTGTGACTTCTATGTTTGTGCCAGACTGCTCCCTTTGTTTTGGGAGTTGGGGTTAACTTATTTGGGGGAAGGGGGTACCAGGGACTGAACTCACGACCGTTGGCTTGCCAGGGAGGCGCTTAAGCTACTGAGCTAAATCCCTGGCCCCGGATTAATTTATAACCTGTGTTTTTTCTGTCTCCTACAGCAAAAGAAACGGAAAGCACAGCCCCAGGATAGCCGAGGGGGCAGCAAGAAATACAAGGAGTTCAAGTTTTAGGTTCTCTCTCTCCTCCTCCACCCTGACCTTCCTTTAGGCCCTTTTTCCGGATGCCTGGACTTTCATATATGGGCCCCCAAGAGCGAGCTCTTCTGTAGCTCCCAAGGACTTGTCATTTCATGTTCTTATTTTAGACTTGTTTTGTAAATAAAGCTGCTTCCCAAGGAAAGAGATGAATATGTAACACTCTGGATCTTCCCTCATCTCTTTTTAGCCCCTTCTACAATCTTAGAATGCTTAGAAGTAGCATCTTCTTGCAACCATTGGGCTGCCTGCCCCAGTGACCCAGGCAGGTAGTTGATCAGATGTTACAGTTGAAACTTCATGAAGCCAAAGCCAAAGGTGAAACTGGATGATTTATCACCCCTCCTCTGTAGGAAGGCTCTGGGGAAGTACCCCCAGGTCTGATTTGACCTTACTACTTTGTTCTTGGGGAATAAAAATAGCTAGTTTAGTGCCTAGCTGGGCCGGGGAAGTAACAGTGGGGTTGGGAAGTATAGGCCAGGTCAGGCCTTCCTAATTGACCTTGTAGCAGAAATTTTGAGTCCTTAACTATGAGAACATAGCTCAAAATCTTAATTGTCTTGGGTTCCTGTGAACCCTTGGTGTGTATATGTTTTGTGTTGTAGTGTAGGGGAACATACTTTCTGCAGCTTCCCCTCATTCTAAAAGTCTGATAAGCTAGACTGGCTGGGCCCACTGGGTCCAGTGGGGATTTGCCAGGTGTGTGTATGTGGGGAAATTACACCATTGTTGCACTACTAGGGTCTGTTAGTACACTAAGAGGGATGTCAAGAGGGCTAGAGGTTCAAGATAGTCGGAATGGGGAGAGGAGGGTCCAACAGAGGATGCGGAAACTGGTAGGCCTGGGGAAGATAGATAGAATTCCAGAAATTTAGAAAACACTGAAGCACTCGGGATCTGGCCAGGGCTTAGCTTACTTCTCCCTTGTTAGGGACTTTTGGTCCTTGGGTTCCTGAGTCCCTGCCTGCTCTTGGAACTCCCAGGCCATCACGCTCCCGGGGCCTGCCACTCAGAGATTGGGTTCCTACCAACTGGCTATTCTCTTTGGTAGTCAACGGAAAAGTCTCCAGGGCACAAAGCTGGGTCTGGGGGCGGTGGACAAGAGACATCCACGTCGTGCGGAGCCAGTGGCAGGTTTGGCTTTCACAGTCCTTCAGCAGTCCACTTTTCAAATGGGGCCGCACCCCGGAAAAGCGGGGTTTCCGCTGGCGGGATTGGCTGCGGCGAGGGGGGCCGAGGGGGGGATGAAGAGAGAAGTGGGGGTGGGGGGTAGATAGGCCGGCTGCGGCTCGTGTTGCAGGCTGGAACGTGGGAAGGACAAGCAGGCGCGCGCCAGCTGCAGACCCTCTCTGGGGCCGCGTGCCCAAGACGCCCGGCGCGCGCGCGCCGGGCCCCGCCCCTAGACGCCGGGCGGGGCCGCAGCCGGCGCTCCCCGCCCCTCCCCGGACACGCCCACCCAGTGTCTCGGCCGCGCGGGCCGCAACAGGCGGCGGCGGGCGGGCGCGAGGATTGCGCGCCGGAGGCCCCGCGCTTGCGTGCACACTCGCTGGCTGCTCGCGCTCGGCTGGGCGGGCTGAGACGCTCCGGGCCCTCGCCGCCGCAGCCGCGGGGGAAGCCGAGGAGCCGCGCTGCGTCGCTTCGGTCCGAGCTCGGCGCCCCCTCACCCCCTGGCTGGGCCATGGCTGAACGCGGAGGGCCGGGCGGTGGTCCTGGAGGGCCCGGGGGCAGCGGCGCTCAGCGGGTCTCTGGGGCCGCCCAGTCCCCGCAGCAGCCGCCTTCGTCTCAGCAGCCGACGCCGCAGCAGCCGACGCCCCCCAAGCTGGCCCAGGCCACCTCGTCGTCCTCGTCCACCTCGGCGGCGGTTGCTTCCTCTTCGTCCTCGTCCACCTCCACCTCCATGGCCGTCGCGGTGGCCTCGGGCTCCGCTCCTCCCGGCGCCCCGGGGCCAGGCCGCACCCCCGCCCCGGTGCAGATGAACCTGTACGCCACCTGGGAGGTGGACCGGAGCTCGTCCAGCTGCGTCCCCAGGTGAGTGTGCGGGGAGGGGCGCCGGGCTTTGGTCTGTGACAAGCACCCGCCTCTTTCCCCTCCCTCTGGGTCCTCTCGCACAGGGGGACGACCCCACCCCCTGAGTCCCCTGGCCAGGCCTGGCTTCAGCCGGGGCTCTTAGTGTTACTGCTGCGAGGACCTGCCCTCTCCCGGCAGCCCCACCTGCCTGGCTCGGGACCATCTCTTCCCTTCGCTGGAGCGGACCGGGCCTTCTGGACCCTGCCCAGGGCCTTCCCTTTGCTGGGTCTGACCGAATCCGGCCTTCCTGACTGGTCACTTTCCCCGAATAACTCACTCTTTTTCCTGCTTTGTTGGCGCCCGTGGGCTGTACATATGTTATACAGATGTGGTGGATGGCTTTTGATATTACTACCCAGTGTGCTCAGCATGTGCCAAACTCGGTTATCACTTCTAGGTAAAGCCTAAATAGAGTAACCATTGGGGCTTTTAGTAAACCTTCAGTAACACACGTTCTTCTACGCTTTAAATCACACACATTCTGCCAGGACTATGCTTAGTTTTGGGGTCCTATTGAGTGGGTCCTCAAGTGAATTTTTCACTCCCTTCTTTCCTCTAGGAACTGATCACCAGCTCTCAACCCTGCTGGGCTCCATAAAATGACTGCCTTGTTCCTAAATTCAATCCATTCCTCTGTGTGGTTGGAACCATCTGGAAACTTTCCTTGTGTCGGCAAAATATGCCTGGGTCTGGGGATATTTTCTGTTTCTCTACTGGCAAGGCTTTCTCCAACTCTTGGGGACAGTGTTCAGTGACACACATCCTATCCTGTGAACAGACAGCTTGTGAAGCTGGTTCCACCCAGTAAGCTCAGATAAGTGCCTGGAGGTGTTCTTTTTGTCACCTCTAAACTGAGTTGATCCTATTGCCTTGAAGACTTGAACTTTCTCCTTAAGTCAGCTAGCCTAGTTGTTGGGCAGGTGGATAGGTAAGCCAGAGTTAGGGGGCATTGTGGATTTCCACCCTCAACTCTAGTTTTTTTTCTTCTCTTATTTTGGATACTATTGTCATACACAGATAGGATATGAAATATGATGACAAGAACATATTTATTGTCACTCAGCCTAAGAAATAGAACATTATCTCTTATGTGGAAGCCTACAGGGTGCCCCTTTCTTAGCCCACATCCTGTCTTCCCCCAACAAAGGTAAACACTCTCTTGAATTGTGTTTGTCATTTTCCTTGTTGTCTTGTCTTTTTGATTGTAGTTTTGCTACATATTTGCATCTCTAAGACAATATCATCTTAGTATATGTGCTGCTGAATCAAGTGCTAAACAATACATTTTTTAATTATGAATACTTTAAAGTTTGTTTTTTTGTGAGACTCATCAATGTTGTATCATGGCTCTGGTTTTTAAATACTATCCATTCGTGAAAGTATTATATTGTATGAAAGAATGCATTGAATTCTCTTCTTGGTGAACATTTAGGTTGATGCCTATTTCTTAACATAAGTAGTAACGCTTAAATATTTTTTCCAGGACTCCTAATATTCTTTGCAGCTTTATGTTGTATTTATGTAAGGGCCGAATTGCTGTTCACAGGGTGTAGATCTGGAGCTTCACTAGATAATGCTGGACTTTTTACCCACTTACCCCTCCACTCTTAATGCTCTTTGTGTTCAGCTTTCACTGCACAAATAAACACTTTCTTTTTTCATTGTCTTTTTTTTTTTTTCCAAGCAAATTAGGAGGTATGGTAGTCTAGTTTGTTTTGGCCAGTGCCCTAGCACAACACCAAACTCAAGTGAGAGCTTTGTGCAATGCTGTTCCTCTTGGTCCTGCACATGCCTCTTTTTCTCTTTTTATATTGGCTTAGCTGTTGCTGAAGTAGACTGATCCACTGATTCCAGACATAAAAGCTCTGTGCCCCTTCCTGCATGAGTTCATTGTTAGTAAAACATGCTGGCCCATTCTTTCTTCACGAGTCTATTGCTGATTGGGACGTTTGGGTAGCTACCTTCTCTAGCTTGGATTGAAAAGGCGTGAGCTGACTGGCAGGAAGACTACCACAGAGAGGAATGAAGTAAAATCACTGATTGCTGTTGATTTTTGATCTGATCCTGTATCTCTTGATTATCGAAAAGTCTTGTGTAATAAATGATTAGCCTAAGAAGCAGCCAGCATCCTGATAAAATGGTAATTATTATGCTAACTTGGTGTGAGAGGCATAAGCCAGCTTGGTTTCCTGTTCAGGGTACATGAAGTTGTGTTGTGTTTACTAGTCAGTTCTTGCTTGGCTGTCTTCCGACTTTGTTTTCCAGCCTTTACCCTTGTGCCTCCCAGCTCCTTGAGAAACACTTGTGCTTCTTGGAGCAGGCTGCTGTATCTTCAGGATGGAAAACAACACCCTGTGGGGAGAAAATGACCTGCTATTGGCTCTTCCAAGTATTGAGTCAGCCAGTAAATTTGAGGTCTCCTGGGTGTACTTGTTCATGTTGTTTTGAATATATTAACAACATGTAGTTCTGGATAGCATGTAAGATATACTTTTCTTGTTTTGTGTAATTCCAGTGAGACACAGGTGTAAAAGCTGTAGCACATAAGTAAGCCTGATGGTGAATCTGAAGTTAGGTGCACATGAGAACAGAAGAGTCTGTCTTTATCTACTGCAGAGAAGTGGGGGTTGAGCAAGCAGTCAAGCATTAGGAAGGTCATGCTTCCTTTCTTGATGCCTGTGGAAATATAATTTGCTTTTGATAAAAATACCATTTCCTTTATTAGCTATTTAAGATTAACATTTCATTTATATCTCAGGTATGTCTGCTTTTCTTTAACATCTAAATTCGCTCAGAATCCATAGTATTTTTAAGCTGTTTTGTAGACTAGCATACTCACCCTTGGCTTTAAAAAGACTTAATTGTTCAGTTCATTGCATTGTCATTTTTACTCCCTAACCTCTCTGTACTGGGGTTGGAATCCAGGGTTTTCATATAGAGTTTTATTCCTAGCTCTTTAAAAAATTTTATTTATTTATTTTTTAATTTTGAGGAAAACAAAGTCTTCTAAGCAGCCCAGGCTGGATTTAACTTGTGATTCTCTTGCCTCATCCTTCCAGAGTGCTGAGATTACAGATGTGAATTACCATGCCCAGTTTGTAACAACATTTTTTTTATTAGCATTTTTTAAACAAGGAAGTTATTACATGTCTGTGGTTAAAAATTCAAACATTATAGAGAGATGAAAAGTATAAAAGTCTCATCCATGTTGTCATTCATTCTAGGTGATCACTGTGAAATATAGTTGCTTTTTAATACTTCATTACATGAAGGCAGTTCTGCTATTTCTGCTTTATGAAATTTATAGCTTTAGACAGACCTGGTGTGGTAAGAACAGTGGTGTGCTGGTGTGGAGACCAGATAGCATGTTGTTTGAAGGGTTTCAGTGTCATTCTTTTTTTTTGTCTTTTTCGTTTTTATCAGTACCAGGGATCGAACTCACGACTGCCTGCTTCCAAGGCAGGTGCTTATGCCGCTGAGCTAAATCCCCAGCCCCCCAGAGTGCCATTCTTGATCCCTTTTGTTGATAATATTTGATGAGATTTGCCATAATATTCTTTTCTCTCTTTGAATTGCTTTAGATAGGAAAGGCAGAAAAATTATTAAATCTTGCAAGTACACAATTTCTGCCAGGTGTGGTAGTACATGCCTGTAATCCCTGTATTTGGGAGACTGAGCTAGGAGGATCACTGTGAGTTGAGGCCAGCCTGAACTGCATAGCAAAACCCTGTCTCAAAAAAAATTTCCCCAGTGGCATAAAAGTGATTATTAGGAGGCTCCTGTATCATTAACAAGTCACATTGCATTTGTCTTTCTGTACAAGGCACATTTCCATATCCTTGTCTTTATGTACTGGGGAAGGAGTTTAGTGTCAGTTCCATTTCTCCTTAGACCACTTTTTTTAAGTGGGTACTAAAGTCAACCTGTATTGGATAAAAATGTTAGTGCTAAAAGGGAGGTGGCCACAGCTGAGCTGCTATGACCGGACTGCAGCAAGAGTATCACTTACATGAAAGCACTTGGGAACAGTTTTCCCTCTGAGCACTAGGCAAGCTGGGAGCTATTTTTCTGTGCTTTTTACTGTATAGTAAGACAGACAGTCCCATGCCTTAGTTTTTTCAGTATTGATTGGGAATACTATACTTACCATCTGTTCTAAGATACAGATCAAATGAATATAAAATAGGACTTATAGAGCCACAGGAATGAGTACCTTTTAAATGGTAGATATAAAATAAATATAATTGATCAAATAAGAGAGAACTGGTGAAATGTCTGTTATTTCTCAGCGGTTTGTGTGTGTGTGTGTGTGTATGTGTGTGTGTTTCGTTTTTATGGGTACCAGGGATCGAACGCACGACTGCCTGCTTACAAGGCAGGCGCTTATGCCGCTGAGCTAAATCCCCAGCCCCTAAATGTCTGTTATTTCTCTACCATTAAAAGTTTTAAAAGTATGTTTATGCCCTAGGAGATTTGAGTTTCACGTTGTAAGTGTTGTAATAGAATATCTTTCCTATCAAGGTAATATTATCCATTGTCCCTGTGGAAGCTCAGATTCCTCAAGTCAGAAAAAGAATGACTTTCACGGAGTGTATTTTACATGTATTGATTTACAGATCTATGGGACACATTAGTAGTTATGTGATTTCTTTTTAAACCAGTTTTCAATTTCTTAGCCAAGCCACAGAGTTGCTGCTATTATTGTCAGTGCTTGCAGGAGGCTGAGCAAGTGAGAATGTTTGAGCTGTGTCTTTTCACTCCCTGTCCTTACAAGCCTGTCCTGCTTAGGTCTGGACTTGAAGGTGTTGGTGTAATCTCAGGCAGGCCCACTGGGTCCTATGCCAGGCTGCATCTGCATATACATATTCTGGAAGTACTTTGGGAAACTAGGGTAGCTGTGGGGTGATTTGCAAGTGTCAGTCTTTTCCCAGTTGAGAAAAGACAATTTAAACTCTTTTAGAGGACGCCTCTGAGCATGGTGGTTGACTTCCAAATTGACAAGCACTTGACAGAATCCTTCCTTCTCCAGGCCTTCACCCGAGAGTAGACAGCACAGTGTGAAGGTTATAGAGAATTCTCATGTGTGTGCACCAGTGCCTCCTCTCTTCTAGATGCTCATAGGGCATTTGCTGGCAGATTGACTAGAACATCAGAGAATGACATAGTCCCAGGGAATCCCCAATGGGCCAACCTGTAATGGCCCCTTTACCTTGGAAGATAAATAAATGAGGATGCATTGTAGCTTATCTTATATAACTTCTGGAAAATAGTTCCCTAAGACATTCCATTGGGCATTCAATTATACCTTAAGACTCTGAGCTGCTTTTTAAAAAGATGTGCTGTCTAGTACAATAGCCAGTTGTTAATTTCAGTCCAGCTGCTCACACTCACTTTCTAGCTGGGCTCTGTAGGGTGTGCATGTAATCTTAAATAGGTGCGAGGTTGAGTGTGATTTCTAGTGATCCAATACAGATTCAAGATATATATTTCATTTAATTAAGTAGAAGACTTTTGTCCTCTTCCAAATTATTTTAAAATGTCCCTTTTCTTTCCCATAAGTTTTCATTTTGTTAATTTTTTTCCTTAGACATTGTTATCTTCTGTTTTACTGTACTTCATGACTGTTTGCTTTGTGATGCCTCCCTGCCATTTATAACCCCACAGTTTTAGGTCTTGTATCCGATGAAAACAGACTAGATGCATTGACTCCAAAATGTTTTTAGATGTGTGTGATTTTAATTTTTGTCATTATTATTATTTTGGTGATTTCTAAAATTTCTACAGTAAACACGTATTATGGGAAGGGTAGTAAGTAAACATTCAAAAAATATATTTCATTTTTGTGAATACTGCATACTAAACACTACCAAATCGAATACTTTAGAGGGATGAACTTTATCAATTTTATTACATTAAAGTTGTAAGAAAATATTTTATTATATATATATTTTAAAAGATCATATATTGAATGAGCATTAAGTGAGAAAAGAAATAGAGTACTGAAATTTCACCCCACTCATTATGTTCCTTTCTTGGTTCTGGAGTTGCTCTTCATTTTTATTGATAGCAAAAGTGACAACTGGTAATGACCATTATTACCTTCCTTGCAATTAGATAGATGAGCCACAGGTGATATATTATTGTTGATGTGACAGTCTGATGTATTTCATCTTTGTGCAGATATTTTTAGATTAAGTTTTAAAGATGCACCAGAAGTTAGAATATTTGAGCTTAGCTCTGGCTTCATCAGTTTTTCTGAACCTTGAACATTGTACTTCTTTTTGTTTTTGTGGGAAATGAGACTTAGGAGCTCGAAGGTAAGCCTCGGTTTTACTTGTCCTTTCAGAACTTTCAGTACTTTTAGTTCTGTAAACATAGAACCACACCAGGTAACAACCACAAGTTATTTTGGCCAAAATATTTTTTATATTATGTGCATTTCAGGAACTGTACTGTAGGTAATTTACTCTGTGGTTTTTAGTGGGCCTGATACAGATTTGAAAGACATGAAAGGGATGACTTAAACAAATTTAAAACTTGTTTTCTGCTATGCTGTGTCTTCCTTTCTTTGTAGATTGTACAGTGTCTCCATGGCTGTCCCTCCTCAGAACCATACTGTGAGCAGGACTTCCTGCTGGTGGCATCTCTGGTGACATCAGCATATTAACCATACCTGAGAAGTTTCAGATTGGATATTGTGCTTATATATGGGACTGTGCTTTTTCCTTTGTATTACTGTATTTTCTTTCTTTTTTTTTTTTTTTTTTTTTTGGTCTTTTTCGTTTTTATCGGTACCAGGGATCGAACTCATGACTGCCTGCTTGGAAGGCAGGCGCTTATGCCGCTGAGCTAAATCCCCAGCCCCCTTGTTTCTCTTTTTGAAGATGAGACACTTTCATTCTTTGCAGCAGTTTTTTTCTCAGAATAGTTTAGAAGATACAAAAGGCTTAGGATATCACTTGTCACCTATTTGATCCCTCCTTACTAACCTTTTGTTCAAAAACACCAAATAGCTGCATGGTCTAGGAAGCAGCTTTTCCTGCTCATTTCTGTTTTATGACACTGCACAAACACATGGCATTGTGCTAATTCCTCTCATCCTCTGTTACACCAGTCTCTCCCAGAAGCTAACTACTGGTAGTTGAGAGCAATACTTTTTGGATTGTTTTTGTTTTTGTGGCATGCAAAATTAAACCTAGAGTCTCACACATACTCAAATAATATACTAAAAGTGAAAATTAGCCAGGCTTGGTAGTGCATGCCTGTAATCCCAGAACTTGAGAGACTGAGGCAGGAGGATTGCTGAGAGTTTGATGCCAGCCTGGGCTTTATATAGTAGGCTCAAAGCTACCCTGAACTACATAGTGAGACCTTATCTCAAAAAAAAAAAAAAAAAAATTAGATCCTGTCATGCCCTCTCCACAGTCTTCCTTCCATGTACTCATTCAGCAAGACCAGCTGGTGTGTGCTGCAAACAGAATCCTGTACATTCATGAGAGAAGGCATTATCAACCAGGCAGGAGGATCACAAGTTCAAGTCTTATCTGAATAACAGTGAGACCCTCTTTCAAAATTAAAAACAAGAAAAGTTGAAAAGGCCATGATTGTAGTTCAGTGGTAGAGCACTCCTGGCTTCAGTCTCTCATACTACAAGAGAAAAAAGACTATGAAATATTTTGTTGTACTTAGAATAAAATCCCTTGATATGGTGGAAGACATACTTGGTTTCTGGCTGCTGCTTGTGACTCAGGCCTCATCTGCTATTCTGCCCATTGCTCATGTGGCTCTGGGTAAGGTAGCCTGGCATGGTTACCCTGCCTCAGAGCTTCATCCCCTGCTGTTCTGTTTACCTGAGATGCCCATCCCCAGATCATGCTGTGCCCGGCTCCTGGGTATCATTCAGATTTCAGTTGCCCTTCACCTTAGAAGGCTGTGCTCACCTGTCTAGTCCATGCTGGAGTTTATTTTATTTTATTTATTTTTGTCTTTTTGAGACGGTGTTTCACTATGCAGTTCAGGCTAGCCTTGCACTCTTTTATGTAGCCCGGGCCAGTCTCAAACTCACAGTGATCCTCCTGTCTCAGCCCTTCCACCTCAACATTTTAAGTGCTGGAATTACAGACATGTGCCACCACACCCAGCCTGTGCTGGAGTTATAAAGCTTCTTTGCAAATACTTATTGTCTGAAATAATCTTCTTCATTGATTTAGTTACTATATAGATGCACAATAAATACATTTGCCAAATTAATTACACTAATTTTCCCTCTTTTATTTGTAATGTTTATTGAATGAATATTACTCACAATTCATCCATTCACTGAATGTTTACTGAGTATTTCTGTGTGCCATACGCTGTTCTAAGTGTTGGAGAAGTGGCAACAAAAGGTTGACAGAATTCATGCTCTCTTAGAGTGTGTGTTTCAGTTCAAGGCGACACATATAATGAACCATCAGGTAATCAGATCTGTAAGAAATGGTCAGATAATTGAATTGTGTCACCATGAAATAGAACAATAATTGACAGACCTTGGGCTGGGGATTTAGCTCAGCAGCATAAGCACCTCCCTGGCAAGTGCAAGATCCTGAGTTCGATCCCGTCTCCCTTACCCCCAAAATAATAATTGACAGAGCTTGGGGAAGGGCTCTCCTGGATGGGGTGGCCAGGAAGACCTCTGGTGTGGTGCTGTCTGAACTGCTGGAGTGAAGTAAATCTGATAAATTGAGCTCTTTCTGTGTGTCACAGTAATGACTAGAGACAGACACTGGGATTCTTTTTCTCAGCAGGAGAAATTGAGTCCCTGTGAGGGGAAGGCATATTTGTAAGGTTACCCAGTTTAGAGGTAGGGTAGGTGGACTGGGCTTTGTCTCTTGACTATGATTGTCTGACATCAGAGCTATTTCTCATTTAAACTTGGGTCCTTGAGCCCCATCTCACTCTCATAGTTGACAGATAACTGTAGATTGTCTTTTATGTTGCTGGCTGAAGTTACAGAATGCTGCTTCATTAGCAATACAGGCAGTAAGAGGCCATGTAACATAGTGGTTGGGAACATGGATTTTGCAATCAGTGAATCTGGATTTGAATTCTGAGTGACATTGGGCAAGTTACTTAACTTCTCTAATGCTTCAGTGTTCTCATCTGTAAAATGGGCATAAAATGCAATTAAATACATGGTAATTGCATGTGTGGCACATAGAAATACTTAATAGATAGTAACTAGCATTGTTGTTGTTGCTTTTTTGTCAATCCAGTTCTGTATCCTCTCCAAAAAGAACCAAAACAAACTTGCTTTCCTTCTGGAATCAGGGTGAGAGTCTAATTTCCTCAGTGGAGCCATCACAAGGTTTTGGGTTTACCTGAGGTACAGGTCTTGCCAAATCCCAGGCTTATTAGACTAGAAAGCCAAAGCAGGGTTTTAGTCTGAAGCGGGCCTTGGGTCAGGATCCTGTTTCGACATTCTGCCCACTTATATGAACGGAAGAGATGGTGTAGATTCCGCCTGTAAACCGCAACTTTGTTTTGAGCCAGCTTGACTTGATAGCTTCCTTATTCTACCTGCTGACTTTTTTAGCTCTGGTTTGGCAGCCAGAAGAACAACTAAACCGGTTTATAGCGCTTCATTTACTGCCAGTGAAAGCTCAGCAATTCCTGGGAAAGTGAGCAATTTAAGAGGACTTGATATTTGTCTCTTAAGTTTTCCTTTTAATGTTTCAAAAATATATATATGTATATATATGTGAACCTTATTCTTTTACAGGAGGGACTTTCAGGGCTGTCCTGAAATATTTGGGTCTATGTATGTATGTTAATTTCCCCTTTAATAGGAGCAAGACTTTACTTTTGTATTTTGTTTAGAAATCTACAAGTATATTTGCTCGTTGCTGGTTCTTTCTTTCTTTCCTTCTTTCTTTCTTTTCTTATGGTTATTTATTTTGGAAACAGGCTCACTATGCATTTCAGGCTATCTTCAAACTCATTATGTAGTCCAGGCTGGCCTTAAACATGCAGTGATCTTCCTGTCTCAGCCTCCCGAGTACTGGGACTACAGATATGTACCACCACAGCCAGCCTGCTGCTTCTTTCTTGAGAATATATAAAACATAGACTAACCTTTTCTTGAGTCTGGATCATCATTCGAACATGATCCTTCTGTAGACATCATTGTGTAATGAATGTTAACTATTACAAAATTTGTGTATCTGCTTTTTTTTTTAAGTTTTGTTTTTATTTTTCCTTATGCTGTCAGTGTGCCCTCTTTGCCCTTTGTTGCTTCTAAAAACCATAGGCTGAAGAATCAAATAATTGGAAATGTTAGGAACGAGAGCTGAAGTTGAGTGGGAGGGCACTTATTTAGTGTGTGCACACAAGTGCCTGGGTTCACTTCTGATCAGCTCCAGCTCCATGTGAATGGCCTCTGAATACAAGGCAAAGGTAATTGGTATTATTAACTCTGAGAATATGAGGGTATGCATGTTTTATGGGTAAGTAATAATTTTGGCTACCTCCTGGTCTGGGTTTTGCTCCAGAGAAGTAGAATATTTTTTTATGGTCAATGTTTTTTTTTTTTTTTTGTCTTTTTGAGACAGGGTCTCTATGCAGTTCAGGCTGGCCTTGAGCTCACTTTGTAGCCCAGACTGGTCTCGAACTTGCAACGATCCTCCCACCTCAGCCTCCCGAGTGCTGGGATTATAGGCGTGAGCCACCATGCCCGGCCTTATGGTCAATGTTTATAGTCTTCTGAAATCTTATAACATTAAAAATCCTAATGAAGCCAGGTATAGTAGTGATGTTGGCCTGTGAATCCTAGCAGTCCGGGAGGCTGAGGCAGACTGAGGCAGGAGAATTGCAAGTTCAGCCTGGACTACTTAGTGATTTAAAGTCTTATTTCAAAATGTGTGTGAGAGCGAGGATATTGGGAAGGTAAATTAGTGTGAAGGGCCTGGGTTCAGTCCCCAGTATTGCAGAACGAGAGATAGCAAAACCAAAAAGGTCAGCTTTTACATTGGGATTGGAGTGCTGTGGTAAATAACGGACTATATGCTTGGTTAAATTGGTCTTTTTGATGGTTTTTTGGTATTGGGAATCGAACTCAGGACCTTACGCTTGCCAGGCAAGTGCTTATGCCACTGAGCTATATCCCTGGCTTTTTTTCTTTTCTTTTCTTTTCTTTTTTTGTTTTTGGTACCGGGGATCAAACTCATGATCTCACACTTACCAGACAAGCGCTTGACCTGCTGAGCTAAATCCATTGTCCCTAAATTGGTTTTGATTACCACTGAACAAGTTATTTTTTCCCTAATATTTTAAAGTGAGGATACTTCCCTCTTCTGCCCCCATCACTGATTTTTCCCCCCTTTTTTGTTTCATGAAAAGATAAAATTGTGTAACAGAATAATGAGAATAATAATTGCTAATATACTGTGCATCGTTATCTTCTAAGTAGTAATTTAGAGTACAAATATAAATGAGAAATTCTTAAACAGGATAACAAATTTTTCTTTAATTTTCTTTTCAGTGAACTAAGATAAACTATAATTGAAACAAATTAACATTGAAATATTTTTAAAATATTGGAATATGTAAGTTAAAGAAGTATATGAACTTCTCCCCCCTTATGTATCTTTTATTTTGCTCTTTACTAATTATATAGTGTTTCTCATGTAAGAGAAACCATGAGATATTTGAACTTTTAGTCTGACTTATTTCACTTAATATTTTGTTCTTAAACTGCATCGATTTACTTATGTTTATCTTTCTCTCTGGCAGTGTAGTGCTCTGTTGTATATAAATACCACATTTTTCTTTTCCATTTATCTTTTGATGGATAGATACGCTATTTCTAAGATCTAGCTATTATAAACTGTGCTGCTGTAAACATGGGTATTCACAGATCCCTGTAATGGATGATTTTAACTGTTTTTGGGAAGATACCTAGGAGGGGGATAGCAGGGTCAAATACAACTTCTGTTTTTAGTTTTTTGAGGAATCTCCACACTGGTCCCTATAGTGCTTTTACTAGTTTCCATTCCCACCAACAATGCCATGAAGTTCCTTTCCCCCCATTCTTGCCAGCATTTGTTATTGGATTTTTTGATGATAGCCATCATTTTTGGGTAAGAGGGTATCTCAGTGTAGCTTTAATTTGAATTTCTCTGACGGCCAGTGATAATCAGCATTTTATATATTTGTTGGCCATTTGTACTTCTTTTTTTTTTTTTGTCTTTTTCGTTTTTATCGGTACCAGGAATCGAACTCACGACTGCCTGCTTGCAAGGCAGGTGCTTATGCCACTGAGCTAAATCCCCAGCCCCGCCATTTGTACTTCTGAAAAGTGTCTCTTCATTTTGATTGCCCTTGTTTTGATTGGGTCTTTTATTTTGGAGAGGGCTCTGATTTTTGTGTGTGTGTTTGTATACTGTATTTTTGATGTTAGTCCTCTGTCCTTGCAATAGCTGGCAAAAAATTTTTTTTCCCATTTAGTAGATGTCTCTTCACTCTTCTGGTTGTTTCCTTTGCGCTGCAGCTTTTTAATTGGGTATGATACTGTTTGTTGATGCTTGGTATTGCTGGGTATGGTGACGCACGCCTGTAATCCCAGCACTTGGGAGGCTGAGGCAAGAGGGTTATTACAAGTTCGACACCAGCCTGGGTTACAAAGTGAGCTCAACACCAGCTTGAACTGTATAGCAAGACCCTGTCTCAAACAAACAATAACCTCCCACCAAAAAAAAGATTGATTCTTGGTATTATTTCTTGTGGCATGGGACTGTTCAGAAAATCCTTCCATACGCCTGTGTCTGAAGAGTTTACCTATTTTATCTTCCAGCAGTTTGTTTCTGTTTTAACATTTAGATCTTTGACCCATTTTGGTTTTAGTTTAGTAGCGGGTAAGATGAATGGATCTAAACTCAGTCTTCTGAATGTGGATATCTAATTTTCTCAATATCATTTATTAAGAGGCTATCTTTCATCCCAGGTATTTGTTTGGCTCTTCTGTGAAGGATCAAATAACCATATGTGCCTGAGGTGATTTCCATTTCTTCTGTCTCATTGATCCACATAGCCTGTTTTTGTGCCAGTACCATGCTGTTTTAAGAATCACTGATTTGTAATGAAAAAAATACATATGTAAAATGTTTGGACATTGATACCCAGAGAAATTATTGCCTTCACATCTTTCAGTAACATCGGTGAAACTACGAATATGGTAAGTATATTTGTCCTCTGATTTCTATTAGTCATCATTTGCATTATCTTTACAAGTAGATTTTCTTTTAATCTTTGAAGCTTGTATATGGTGACATGTGATGATGAAATATATCTTAAATCTAACGACTTCATTAAAAGTCATCTCTTCACAATTAAAATCCACAGCATTTTATATATTCTCACCACGTATCACTTTTGCTGTGCATGAAAATGAATATGCAACTCTGGAAGCCAAGGTCCTCTGGGAGCATAAAAACTCTTGTGGCTATTAATGGGCTTAATTGTATTTCCCTTCTGTCACTAAAATGTGCAATAAATTTGTTTATGTCCTTGCCTTAATTTAATGGGGAGAATTGGTCATTAAATCTGTATTGATACTATTATCACTTTGTTTTTATTGCTGATAGAGTCCTCTCTAGCTTTCCTTTAAAAAGAAAAGTTATTTTTATTTTTATTTATTTATTTTTGGTACCAGGGATCGAACTCATGACCTCACGCTTGCCAGGCAGATGCTTACACCACTGAGCTAAATCCTTGGCCCTTAATTTTATTTTTAAAATTTATTTTTGTTAATACATGTTTGTAGTACATAGTGATCACGTTCCTTATGGGAAGTTGGTACATGTATGTAACCATTTTAATTATTTTTTAACTCCTTCCTGTCCTCTTTTGTTCCATCCTTCCATCTCTTGGTCTCTTCTGTATGCAATGATCTGTCTCCCTACTTTCTGTCATCTAACTTTTATTTTGCTCAATATTTATATTGTGGGTTTTTCATGTAAGAGAAGCCATATAATATTTAAGCTGTGTGTGTTACTTATTTCCCTTACCATTGTAGTCTCAAGATGCATCCATTTTCCTATGAAAGACTTAAATTTATCCTTTATGGCAGAGTAGTACTCCACTGTGTATAAGTACCACATTTTCTTTATCTGTTCATCTGTTGATGGACATGTAGGCGGGTTCCAAAATTTAGCTATTATGAGTGGTATTGCTGTAAACATAGGTGTGCATGTATCACTGTGATATATCTTTAGCTTCTTTGGAAAGAAATCTAGAATGGGAAAAGTGGATCCAGTGGAATTTCTGGTTTTAGTTTTTTGAGGAGTCTCTGTACCTATTTCCATAATAGTTATACTAGTTTACATTCCCACCAACAATTAGAAGGGTTCTTTTCTCTCTGCTGCCTCCACAGTTTTTGTTGTTATCTGAATTCTTTTTTGTTTGTTTTGTTTTGCCTTTTTGAGATAGAGTTTCACTATGCAGGTCAAACTGGCCTTAAACTTACTTTGTAGCCCAGGCTGGCCTTAAACTCTCAGCAATTGTCCTGCCTCAGCTTCCCAAATGCTGGAATTACAGGCGTGCACCACCACGCTTGGCTTTTCTGAGTTCTTGATGATAACTCTTCTTTCTAGGGTAAGACAGAATCTCAGTGTTGTTTGAATTTGCATTTCTCAAATGGCCGGAGATGTCAAACATTGTTTTCATGTATTTATTAGTCATGTATTTCTTCTGAGAAGTTTGTGTTCATTTCAGTTGTCTGTTTAAGAACATTTGTAATAAGGAATAAGTGTAATATTATTAAACATTATTCATTTATCCTGTTGGTTGACTTCTAAAGGGTCATCTCATTTGAGGAGTAAGTGTGGTGTGAAAATGGGAGATGGTCTCCTAAATCTAAGATGAGGCATAAGGTTGGTAGGACTAGGACTGAGGCAGGCAGTGTGTATATGTTTACTTGCATTCTGAAGGAGCTAGTTCTAAGGCAGCCTCACTGATAAATGAATGCCAGTCTTAGTGTGGTGAAGCTTCACATTTTTAAATCCATCTAAGAGAACATTTGTGGGAGAATGACTATTAAGGATTATGGTTCTCTTTGTTTTTTTGTCAGTCAGGCATCTTCTACTATTTTTATAATGTATCTGGAGAAAAATCAGAAATTACATCTTTAAAACTATGTCAGAAATGCTGTGACTTTAAAATATTTTTGAAATATTTTAAAATTTATGAACTCTTTGTTGAATATAATACACATTAATAAATGTGCACAAAAAAGAATATAGCTCAGTACATTTTTACAAAATAAACTTAACTATGTAACCAACATTCAAATCAAGAAAGGAGATACTGCAAGTGGCCCCAGAGCCTCCATGAAGTGCCTCCAGTTTCAACCCATTTCACCCAGAAACCATCATTCTGACCTCCGGTACCACAAAGTAGTTTGCCTGTCTTTGGAGTTTTACAGAAATGGTATCATAGAGTATGTATTCTTCTGTGTCTAGCTTCCTGTTCTGAACATTATGTTTGTAAAGGAAGTTGAAGTTTTTGCATATGGTTACACGTTATTTCTATTACTATGTAGTATTGTGTTGCATAAATGCATTATAATTCAGTTATTATATTGTTGAGTGATTGGGTGTCCAGGTTTTTTAAAAAACATTCATGCTTTTTTTTTTTTTTCGAATTGTACACGACCTCATGCTTGCCAGGCAGGTGCTGTGCCTGCTGAACCATGTCCCCGGCTTTTGAGACAGAATTTCACTATGAAGTTATGTAGTTCAGTCTGGTCTTCAAAGCTCAAGCCTGCCTTGAACTCATGGTGATCCTCCTGCCTCAGCCTCCTGAGTCCTAGAATTGATTACTGGCATGTACTGCCATGCCTGGCTTTTTAAAATTTAAAAAAAAAATTTTTATTGGTACATGTTTGCAATATATAATTTTTACATTCCTTGTAAGGTGATGGTACAAGTGTGTAACACATCTTAATTCTTCTTTTTTTTTTTAGTTGTTTTAACCCCTTCTGCCCTCTGTATCCCTCTTGATCCCCTTCCCATTTGAGAAAGGTATGTCTTTTCCTGCTTATTATTTAACTTATTTTGTGCTTTATTCATATTTTCCATTTCTTATATAATAGAAACCATGTGATACTTAAGCATGTATGTCTGCTTTAACATTATGGTCTCAAGGTAGATCCATTTCCCCACAAGAGACTTGGTTTATCTTTTTGTGTGTGTGCCAAGTTGATCAAATTTATTGAATAATTTTTTTCTGTGTATGGTATATCTTTAAATAGTCAGTACATTACAGTGTTGCAATCTGGATATTAGTATCTAGTCTTTTTCTGAATTTTTTTGCATTACTGTCTTTTCTAATTGTTCATTTTATTTTATATGCATATACAGATATATATATATGTACACACACAATGGTGGTATATTTTACATGTTTCCAAATATAATATAAAATTTTAAATTTTAAAAACAAAAGAATAAAATGATGATACAGAATTTCAAAATAAAATAATAGGCTATTAAGACTGGTTAATATATTGCATATTGTTATCTTCAAATTAGTTGTTCAGATTATAAGCAACAGCCATAAAAATGATCAATTGAACAATGAAAGCACAAATCAGATTTTTTGATGAACTAATATGTAGTTATCTATCTTGTACAAGTATAAATGTGTATAAAATTAATATGTATACATCCATACATACAATCTTTTCCCTTCTTTTCTTTTCTCTGTTCCCCATCCCAGTTGTTCTTTGTGTGTTCTTGTTATTGAGATTTTTATTTTGGTTTTTTTTGGTACTGGGAAGCCAATTCAAGACCTTGTGCTTGCCAGGCAGGCATTGTGCCACTAAACTATATTCTAGGCCCTATCCTTTATGTCAGTGGCTTTAAAATTTGGTTTCTCATTTGACTGTACCTTGCCATCTGTGTTTGGATAAGTCTCTGTAACTCTTCCCTACCTACTGCTACTTAGTTTCTTTGTTTACTCATTGAATACAGTTCTGTGGAGGTTACTGGTGCAGATTCTGAGAGAACACTGAACAAAAGAAAAATTCCAGCTCTCGTGGTTACTTTCTAGGGGCAGAGTAGGCAACAGACAGCAAACAGATGAGGTAGCCATAACAAGGGTATCAGGTGGGAAAACAAAGTAAGAAGGGGGAGGGTGTAAGAGGGCAGGAGGCAGGAGAATATTATGTTAAGCCATGTGGTCCCAAGCCTCAGAGAAGGCGAGACAGCCTGGTGGAGCACATGTGAATTCAAGCCAAGTGAATCCTATGAGAGGAGCCTTCCTGGCAGAGAGAATAGACAGTGCTCCAGGACCATCAGGGAGGCCACTGTGGCTGGAGCTAAGTGACAGAGACAGAGGGCGAGGGAAAGGGAGAGGGAGAGTGTAATAGAAGACAAAATCAGAGATGTGCAGGGGCTAGACTTTTTGGCAATGCTAGAGATTGAGCTTGTAGGTGGTAGGTGTGGAATCTGCCTCTGGCACACTGCAGATCTCATAGACCATTGTTGGACTTTGGCTTTGATCTTGAATGAGCTGGGAAGCCACTGTGGTAGAAAAGAGACACAATGATGACTTCCACTTGAGAGGAACCGCTGGCTTCATGTACAGAAGGGTTGGGTTGGAAGGCAGAAGTGATGGCCTAAGTGGGGGCTGATACTGGCCTGGGTGGCAGTGGTGTATGTAAGGAGCTAGTCAGATCCTGGGTATATTTTCAACCCAGGATTTGCTTGTCATTTGGATTCATGGTATGACAGCGAAAGGATTCAAGGACAACTACGTTTCACTTAATTTCTCTGTGTCCTTTTTCTGTTTTCTTTTTAAGTCATTATTATTGTCATCTCTTTTTTTTAGTGATGTTATGAGACTAGGTCTTTGTAACTGCTTTCTCCTTAGGGCTCTCTGGGAGCTTGTTTCCACTTTTCCTCTTTGTAATGAATTAAAAATAAATTTTCTTGAAAATTCACTGGCTGATAAAACAATCTATAGGTGAGCACCCAGTGTATTAAAAATCTAAGTAAATTTTTATTTTAATGCTTTATGCCATGATGTAGCCATTGGAGCAGCTGAGTCTCACCTTTCCTAATTGTTCTGCTGTCATATTTGCTCTGTATGCTCTCTTCTGAGGTCTGTTTATTTAATGGTTTCTGAAGAGATAATCTGTTGCAGAAGCAACTAATCACTGTAGCTTACATCATT